AAAACGAAACAAAGGATTTTCCACCCGGCCCTCTTCCGGGGGAGGGAGCGATGCGGTCATCGTCTCCTGGAGAGCAGTCCCTTCCATCTCTGGGTCGCCCGTCCTAGGGCCGCTTACCCCTGGCTTTGCCGCCCCTCTTGGCGGGGGCCTGGACGGGGCGCCCTGCCTGCGACTGGCTCCACGGCGCCGCTTAGGTGGAGGCTGCTGCTGCGGCGCGGGAGCAGGGGCAGACGCAGGAGGACGCCCTCGGCGACGAGCAGACTGAGGTGCCGCAGGCGGTGGAGGCAGCAGCTGGCCGTCGCGGCAGGATGTGTCTGATGGCCTCCGTCTGCTTTTGTACAGCCGAGAACTGTTGGGCGAAGTTCTCGAACGCGTCGCCGAAGAGGCCGGTCTGGGACACAGGGGAGTTGAGAAACCGGAGTTTGTCAGACTCCCTCATGTCAGCCAGACACGGCGTTCCTGGACCACCATGGTGGACATCGCATGACCCACCGACCGCGCGGTCACCTTCGTCGCACGAAGCGCGAGGTCCTTGGGGATCGTGACCACCCTCGTGCAGGTCCTTCAGTGCCTTGGCCTGATGGACCTGCAGCAACGCCATGGCGTGCATGGCAGAGGCAGCTTCCCCACAGGCCTTGTAAGCCTTGCCGGTTAAATCCGACGAGTACTTACAGGCCCGGGAAGGGAGACACGGTTCTCCACGCCAAGTGGAGTTAGGGCACAGTTGCATAGCAACGGCCCGTTCCACTGGCGGGATGCGCGTGTATCCCTTAGCCGCCCCGCCATCAAGGGTGGTGAGGGAGGAGGAGCCACCGGAAACGGTTTCTGGCAGTAAAAGGTGCCGTCCACGTCCCCGTAAGCTCCTCATGCACTTCCGGGAAGAAAGGCACTGGGGTGGGTTGCTGAGAACCAGCGCGCGCCACCCCGAGATACCAATCGTCCAACCTTGAGGGTTCGGGACACGGTGGAGGATTCCACACGAGCCCGACCCCGTTGGCGGCCCGGGAAAGCATGGCCATCATCTCCGGGTCCGTCTCAGGCACCGCTGGCACCCCCGAAGGAGGCAGCGGTGCCGAGTCGTCGTCCGCAGAGAAGTCTGACCCACCCTCCGATGCAGCGATCGACATCTGGTCTTCACTGGGAGCCCCAAAGGAGACAACCGGTACACACCTCGAGGATGGTCCAGCTCTCTCCAATGGAAGCTCAACTGGCTGCGGAGCATGAGAGGGGTGAGGACTCCTAGGGGGTTGGTTCCCCGAAGGAGACGCGCTCACCGTGATCCTCAGGTCACCCGCGCCACCGCCCGAAGCAACCCTCTGAGGAGGATTGGATCGAGGCAGAGGCACGGGGACTCCGCCCCTTTGCAGGAACAAGAGTCTCGACCGTAGCTCCGCGATGGTCATCTTCCCACAATGGGTACATGACTCATCCACAAACGCAGCCTCAGCGTGTTCAATGCCCAGACACACGAGGCAGCGTTTGTGACCATCCTGTGAGCCCAGGTAACGACCGCATCCAGAAACACACAGATAGAAACTCATCTTTTTTTTTTTTTTTTTTTAAAGACGCTCTCTATCTGAGTAAGCTCTTTTAGGGACTACTCTCTCTGGTGCTGAAACACACAGGGGAACAGTCACTGCGAACACAGACAGGAATGTGCACCTGTCTGTGCGCTGTCTCTCTCTCTCGCTGGCAGGTCTTACCGGCTGTGAAAACAGCCTTTGAGCGCTCAACTGCGCACCTTACCAGCTGTTACAACAGCTTTTGTGAATTTGCTCAAGAAAAACAGACAAAGACAGAAGAGAGAAGACACAAAAGACAGCTTGTGCTGCCGTGCTGTAACGCCCGCACCGGATAATGAGAGATCCAACGAAGGCTCGTAGAGTCACACTCTGTAGAATTAAACATGAAGCGTTTGGCTCCGAAGCAAAAAGCTAGTGTGCAATCAAACAGCTGCTGTTAAATACCCGCGCTGCGAGGCTGCACAGCTGATGCAAATGATTGCACGCCAATGTGCATTGGCTTGTTTTAGTTTCACTCGAAGTAGATTGGCCTCTCTAGCGAGATTCCTATTGGTCAGTCTGACCTACGTTGTAGTGACTGACCGATAGGGAACAAAGTATTTGTACTTCGTTACATTCCACCACTGATTATATTACATCCGTGCGTACAGTAGGTCGGACTGTCTGTTTCAGTAATGTCAATCAAACTATTCTGGTATATGGAAAAAAGTTGAATATATTTTTTTCCTATAGATATTGGTTTTGACTTGGTTTGTGCCAAATCTGGTGTTATTACCAGGGGTTTTAAGGTATGGTTGCTGGGTGATTTTGTTTTGAAACCTTCAGAAAACCTGATGTTTCTCAAAATGGACTTTTCTGACTCTATCGACTTCAAACAGGTGTAGCTCAGTCATTTTTTTTGTCTTATTCCAACAAATTATACATAATTTTGAAGGTTTTTGTGAAAATAACAAAAACTATAACTATTTATTATGTTACTATATTATTATTTTTATTATGGGAATGTCATATATGCCCATTTGCCAAAATGTTTTTTTGCGTGGAAAAGGTTAATACACGGGATGACTGTACTTTTATCTTTTAATTACATATTCGACTTGTTTTAAGTGTTTGCTCGTATTGAATAAAAGCTGTTTGCTACAGTGTGGAAACTATTAGTTTTGTGGAAGTTTGTGGAAGCTATTAGTTTATTACAAGTGAGCTAATACATTTTTTGCTCAAATCAGTAGTTCTTGCCCAATTTGGACGGTGTTTCCAAATAATAAACCCTGGTTAGATAAAGCAGTAAAGGATGCACTGCACAAGAAACATAATGCTTTTTTACATGGTGAGGAGAGGGATAAGGCAGAAGCCAAAAAAGAGGTAAAATATGCAATTAAAAGGGCAAAACTCCAATATAAGAGTAAAATAGAGGATACATTTCATAGCAATAACTTAAAAGCTGTATGGGATGGCATGAAAGCCATGACGTACCAGCAAAATACGTGTAATAGATCAATCTCTATTGACGGTTTTAACTCAAACATAGAGCTTGCAAATGCTCTAAATGATTTTTATTTACGTTTTAATGACGAACATGATTTTACAAATGCGCAGAGTGATCTGTTTGATGGTTTGAGTGATTGTGCAGCCCCCTCTCAACCTACAATCAGTGCCCATTCTGTCAGATCTATGTTTTACAAATGTAATATCAGAAAGAGCCCTGGCCCTGACAGGATAACTGGTAAAATCCTAAAAGTCTGTGCAGATCAATTATGTGACATTTTTTCTGATCTTTTTAACATGTCACTTTCCCAGCATAAGGTCCCAACACTTTGGAAGGAATCTGTGGTTGTACCTGTGGCCAAGAACAAATACCCAAAAGAGCTTAATGACTTTAGGCCTGTAGCCTTAACATCAATAGTGATGAAGACTTTTGAGCGATTAGTCAAGCAAATCCTGTCTGAAAAGGTTCATGGTATGCTTGACCCAATGCAGTTTGCATATCAGGTTAACAGAGGAGTAGACGATGCTACCACTACCCTACTTAATCTTCTGTATAAGCATCTTGAGGGGAAAAAAACCCATGCAAGGCTTTTATTTGTTGATTTTTCATCAGCATTTAACACAATCCAAACACACCTTTTAGTAAGGAAACTTGTGTCTATTTTTAACCTTGATCCAGGTATAGTAAAATGGGTACTGGATTTTTTAACATGTAGGCCCCAGTCAGTTAGCGTTAATGGCGTTCTATCTCAGAAGCGATTGTCATCTACAGGCTCACCCCAGGGGTGTGTCCTGTCCCCACTATTGTATCTTCTATATACAAATGACTGTAGGAGTCACTACAATAATAGGGTTCTTCTGAAGTTTGCGGACGACACAGTATTAGTCAGTTTGCTCCAGGATGGTGAGGTCGACCATGGGCCTGTTTTGAACGATTTCGTTGATTGGTGTGACCACCACTTCTTAAAGTTAACTGTCATTAAAACCAAAAACATGGTCATAGACTTCAGAAAAACTCTTCACTTTACCTCTTCAACAATAATCAAGGGCTCACCTATTGAGACAGTGGAGTGTTACAAATACCTAGGAACAGTAATTGACAAAAATTTGAACTTTGACCTTAACACTTCTGCTATCTATAAGAAGGGTCTACAGAGGCTTCATTTTCTGCGCAGACTGAATACTTTTAATGTGGACAAAACTCTGATGACTCTATTTTATCAATCTTTTATCGAATCCATTTTGAATTTTTGTTGTATAGCTTGGTACGGAAATCTTACGGTGCAAAGCAAAAATAAATTATTTAACATTATTAAAGTAGCCAGCAAAATAATTGGAATTAAACAGCTTTCCTTGGCAGACATCTATAAAAGACAAGTTATACGTAAGGCTCAGACTATCATAGCCAGTTCTGACCACCCTCTGTGGGAGGAATTTGTTCTTCTCCCCTCTGGGAGAAGATACAGACTGCCCAAAATAAAAACTAATAGATACAAATTTTCTTTTGCACCTACGGCAATTAATGCCCTAAATTTGTTCTGAGCCTGAGCGATTGCTCAAAATTACAGATTGTTGAGGCTATCATATCAACAATTTTTACACAAACAAAAAAGGTTGTATATAACGGCTGTTCTTATCTTTGTTTATGTCTCATGTATGTTTGTTTTTTAACCCTACTGCAAATCAAATTTCCCCGAGTGGGACAATAAAGACTGAACTGAATTATTTACGTATAAGTCAAATAGCTGTGTAATTAGTGGGATATAAATAAACCACCGGGTGTTACCACTTTACGTCGGGTTCTTGATCACCCTTGTTGGGGTTTATTTGACTTGAAGCCCAAAGAGGCATCAGTGAGTGCATGGTCCTTCTGATCAACTAAGATCATGAGATTGTGTAGTAAGGTTTAAGAAAAATGTTTTTTGTTTCCAAGATCAGGTCAGGCGAAACTTTGATTGCTGTCTCCTTCCCATGGTTCACTGGGGCACTTACATTATGCCGAACCGTGTTGCCCATCTGCCAGTGACGGCTAGTGTGAGTTGAGTGACCTCCACAGATACACCTGTTCCCTCCACAAACACCAGTGTTGGGTCTGGCATGCTGCACTGCACAACCCGCATGCTGGAAACACACACACACACACTTCAACATTTATGGAATATATTCATGTAAACGCAGTTAAAATAACTGTGTATTACATGTGATGAATATAAGAACTACTGACTGAATTTCATGTATTTGTGTTTAAATAAATGCATTTAGTATCAAGAAAAAATTAAGAACATTTGAATTAGTGCATTTCGTTTGATTGTTTGTTAGCGAACTGACTTTGATAAGACGTAATGTACAGTGCCGATCTTGATGTCCACCCCACCCTGGACCTCTGGGAGTTCAGCACTCTTCAGTTTGCTTTGTATTTGGACAGACAGCATCTGAGACACTGAACACATGTACAGAAGCAGATACAGAAGCACATATCACCTCTTTAGCATCCTTGTGATTCAAATATACAAGATTTCATGGATTTTCAAAGGGTTAATTCACTGCTGGCAATGTGAGTTTTTAATAAATCTTGGCTGCCTGAGCAGGAGAAAGGTGATTTTATTTATTTATTTATAAAATCTGTTACATGACCAGAGAAAACAGAGAAAATGGGCTTTGGCCTTTTTTCTCCTTTCTAAAAAGGGTAATTTTGCCAAAATTTCCACACTAAAGGTGCTCTAAGCGATGTCAAGCGTTTTTTAGGCCAAAACATTTTTTGTCACATTCAGCAAACATCTCCTCACTATCCCCTAGACTTGTAGTCAAGACCGCCTAAACCGAGACCAAGACACTACCAAGACCAGAGGGTATCGAGACCAAGACAAGACCAAGACCGAGACAGACCAAGTCGAGACCAAGACTGAGACCAAGTCGAGAAATATAATGACAATATTCATTATAATAACCAGGGGTGCACATAACTGGTACGCAGGTACGCATGCGCGACATAAATCAGGAATGCGTAATGCCACTTCTGTTACTACGCGCCTTTGCGTAACTGTCGCCAAAATGCAACCTAGGGTCTTTTTGTTAATCTACCCGAGGCAAACTTTCGTTTTAAAGCATAATTAGAATGGAAACGCCACTTTTAAGTTTGACCGTATTTTCGTTTTCGGAGAGCTAGGGGCACGTATATGATAGCAACAAAAATTGCTATTTTTAAAACACTAAGAAGGCTCGACACAACATGAAACTTTGCTCAAAGTATCACCAGGGGACATGAACTCCAGCATTGAGAACATTGTTTGTGTACACAGAGTTTACTAAAAAGAAAGATTTTGAACAACTCACTGTAGCTGTGTCCGCCGGAACAGTAACACCGGCATTTTGTCAGTCAAAAATAGTCGATCTCCGAATGCGAATGAACTGACTCTGAATTTTAGTATTGTTTCTTATGAGGATCCTTTTTCAAATACAAGGTCAATATTGTTTTTTACTTATGACAAAACAACAAATTATCCGTGAATTTTTAATGGAACTAAGCTTTAGGAGCTTTCCATCTTTACTCTCCTCCCTGTTAAGTTGCATTCGGAGATCGACTATTTTTGACTTACAAAATACCGCTGACAGTGAGTTGTTCAAAATCCTCACCATGAAGTCTAATGAACGCGATGGAAACTAAACAATCAAATTACACTTCAAAATAATTATTTCCAAAGATGTTTTCTGTCATTTTAGGTAGTTTTATTCACGCTGATGTAAATTTAAGTGTTCGTTTTTTAAAATAAGTTTGGTCTTTAGTTAGTTATTTGATGCTATAAAACCGGGAATGTGACATCATGATTGACAGCTTCTACACTGAGGAGGACTGCACTTATTAAGACCAGGCTACATATGGGGTGAGTACCAAACACCAGCTCCTGGTACTCACCTGAGTAACTCACTGAAAAAGTTATGTGCACCCCTGATAATAACAATTATGTAATAAGTTTTGTCTCCCCCACTATTTCCCAATGTAAGATTTTGTTTTGCATTGCCTGCCTATCTCTGCCGATTTCGAAGTCTCCAAATGAATCCATTCTCCAACTTTTAAATACATAATTATGTTTTTAAAAAACGAAATTATAGGCTTAAGTGCAGGATCCGAAAGTTGGTCGTTTTGTCGCTATGGTTACACACACACACACACACACACACCGTTGGCGGTGCGATCAAAGTCAACTGTCAGTTGTGCAGTTACCCAAAATCTCCTGAATTAAGTTAAAACCCATCATGTCACTGATATGTGTTTTACTAAATATTAATACATCAAAAACTGTACATGATACGTGTTTTTTAAATCAAGTGATCAAAGTGCTCGTTGCCCCTGCGATCAGTGGCGCGGATACAGTGTTTTCTCGTGTGTCTTCACTCGGACGCGCGCTTCAATCCGTTGCGGATACTCTCTATTCGTTCTGGTGAAATCACAAAACATAATGCACACAAACGTATCTCTGCTTGATATACAACCACTGATGAAAATAATCGGTTGCATTATCGAACGTTGTGTCGTCGTGGATATTGTATATTGTATATTGACCACTATGTCGGTCTGAGACAGCGAGACCAAGACAAGACCGAGAGGTCCGAGACCAAGACCAAAGACCGGTCTCGAGACATACATCACTACTGTCCCCTGAACACACTGTAAAGAGGTGGGTCTCTCGGTCTCTGTAGACCGCTCAGGCTCCACAAACAGCAACAAAAACAAACTGGGCCAACCCGCTCCACGAAACATGACAAACAGTTCCAGCCAATCACCGACAAGAAGGGTTTGGGGGGTTAGTGTGCGTACACATGAAGGGGGTGTGGAGCATGAAGAGGGATGTTAGAATAATATTCTCTTTAAGTTTGATATGGCCGACACACGACCAAAGAGACGGCGTTCCGATGAACAGACTGCAAAAATGCAAAAGAAAGGGAAAAGGAGAAGGATTTACATCGGAAAAGCCTTCGAAAGGTGGCGAGATCTCCGGCGGCAGAAGGGCTTCAAATCCCACATTCAGGAACAATAAGACTAACCATGTTGAGCTATATAACAAAGATTTGTTTGGATTTAAACATTATTGGAAACATTTGGGATAATGTAAGCACACAAGTCAACAAAATATATATACCATTGTTCTAGTGGTTTTTGGATATTTTAATTAAAAAATCTTACATATTGTGCCTTTAAACCCAGTTCTCAACACTTGTTTGGGTCCTAACATTTACGATTAACATTCACGAATGTCATTCTCTTTTGGTGACATGAAATATAATTTATCCTTTTTTACATTTTTATATTTACATTTTGGAGGGAAAAGGTTATATATGAAAGGAATCAGTGTATACATGTATAATATATTAAAGAAAACAATCACTGAGCATTTCCCTAATGGACAGTAGTCATGTCAAACTGAAACTCATAATAAAGAATATTATTAAATCTAATTTCAGATTAATATAGTGAAAAACGTACCATCTCTGAGCCCCTTCTCTGACAGAAGAGCTTTTAACGCAGGATAATCTGCATGTGTGTATGTTAATATCATCAGGAAATAAATGACCAGCTGCATCCTTCAGCTCCTGCGGGGTAAGACACATATATTACATGAGTTTAACCGGTTGGCTTTTACTTTTTACTGGTATTTATTTACACTGCAATTAAGCTAGATATGTATCACATTTGGTGTATCAATGTATTATTGCAATTACTGAATGTACATTTAGCTCGAAAAAAAAAGTTTTTATTTATTTTATTTATTTTTGGTGTATTCAACCTTCTCTGCATCCAAACGCCTCTTCAGATGCTTTGAACCGACACTGCTTTCAGTGAACATTTAGCAGAATGTGTGTGAGCCCTTGACCTTTGCATTGCTAAAAGAGTGTGTATTTTATTTTTGCATTCCACAGATGATCTGCTTTAGCAGAAGTTCATATCAAATAACACCGACCCGTATATGCAAATCAGGTCTAAAGTCATTCATGATCCCTCAGTTCAGCTGCATCACTCACTTCCTTAAATGATGGAGAACTGATACTAAGACCAAAACACATTTGTGTATTTGAGGACTCTCCGCAGACACACACATATAGCAGTGTTTACGACCACAGCTTGCCATATTTGATATCCTAAAGCTATAACAATTATTGCCTTTAACACTTCTAATCAATTTTCACCAATGCATAGGCATGGCAGGGTTTGGCGCCGTCTTCACTGACTGACGATGTGAACAGTAATCTGAGCTCTGATGCTTCAGTTTGATCTCTGTATAAAAACCCTCAGAATCTTTCACAGTCTTGCAGATTTCGAGTTGCACAGCAGAGAAGAAAGCAGCGTTTTCAAATAAAGACAGCAGATTTATATTCATCAATTGGGAAGATGCTTTTATCAGAAGTGACTAACTGTGGTTTTAAGTTTGACATTGGATAAGCTTGTATATTTCTGCCAATCAAACTCCAGACCTCGGCATTCCCTTCTACCAGTTGAGCTTCAACAAGTGTATGTTTGCTATGTATATATTTATTTACAACATGAATCCCTTGCAGGAAAAAAAAGTTTGTAAATAGAAAAAACATTATTTAATTAAAGCTGCAAGCAGCGATGAAAGGGCCCTCGCACCCGTGCCGCCGCCACCCGGCCGTTTTAGGAAGACAGAGCACGGTGGGCAGTATGTAAATATAGGGGGAATATGTTAAAGTAATTTGCCCCACCCAATTCTGAAACCCACATCACATGTACATTTTCACCACTTCTGAAGTGTGTGCAAAGTTTCATTAGTTTTCGAGCATGTTTAAGCCGGAGGACTATGTCAAAGTCATTTATTTTTATCACACTTCCTGCTACCAGCAGGTGGCGCTATTACAATAATCTAATATGAGGATGGTCATGTGTTCAGGACAGGACTCTTATCACACATGTGAAGTTTGGGGCAGATCGGACATTGTATGCCTGAGTTACTGCAGGCTGTCTGTGGTTGCCTAGCAACATCGGAACTGCATCATTTACACAGAAGTTATCTGATGATGCATATTTCACCCAGAGGCTGAAATTGGATTTGCACATCTACATTTTTGTCAGGCCGCCGAGGTCACATCCTTCGACGAAAACTCTAGATCTTCGCAATTTAACGTCGCAAAGGCCTTAAGATTAGACTGACAAAATATTATGTGGATCTGATTTAATCTCTAGGAGGAGTTCGTTAAAGTACAACATCAGGAAATTACGAAAAATGCACAAAATCTAGGAGGAAGTTCAAAATAGCTCACTTCCTGTTGTGTTTAGGGCTATGCTCCAAGAGACTTTTTTGTAGGTATTGGGTCATTACATGTATGTACCAAATTTCATACCTGTACGTGAAACGTAGAGCCGGGGCAAAATCTGGGGGCAATAATTTACCGAATTTGCCCCACCCAATTTTGAAAAGCATATCACACGTAAATTTTCACCACTTCTGAAGCGTGTGCAAAGTTTCATGAGTTTTTGAGCATGTTTAGGCCCTCTAAAAAGCGATTCTTTTAAGAGAAGAAGAAGAAGAAGCGGAATAATAATAAACGGAGCAAAAACAATAGGGTCCTCTCACCATCGGTGCTCGGGCCCTAATAAACACTTTCGGTAACGCTTTAGATTACAGCCCAGAAAGTACTGCATAATTAAGACGAATTTACAGAGTAACTTCTGGTAATTATAGTGTACCTATAAAGTACTTACATGTAATTATAAGGGAACAATATGTAAAGTTTGGGGAATAAAGGGGTAACAACCAGGAGAACTAAAAAATATTTATACTGTAAGTATTATAGAACTAAGGGGAACTTATTCTACTATTATGATACAACAATCTTACATTTGGGAGCAATTTCGCGAGAACATACACTGCGTACCTTTTTAATGGTGTACCAATACATATTGTATAGGCTTTTAAAAAAATTACAGGGTACATATCTATGCAAAACAGTTGTTGTTGTTTTTTTGTTTGTTTGTTTGTTTTTATAGCAAAAGTGCAGATGTTTAAGTTTTGGCTTACATGTTTCAAGGGAAAAGTAAAGCTAAAACTATTGCAATTTTTTTAAATACTGGGAAATATACTTTTGTTCCATGTTAAGTGGTGCTTGTTACCCTCTTGTTTTATGTTGTTACAGGGTAAGTTTGACATTGCGGGCTGTAAATTAAAGTGGTGTTTGTTACCCTCTTGTTCCATGTAGTTACAAGGTAAGTACAATAAAAATACATACTCAATCTAATGTCACTGACTCAGAAACCTTTATTTGAAAAACAACTTATTACAGTTAGTCTGAAGAGAGAGTCTACAGTTTAAAAAGTTTAAAATATTGTCATTTTTCTTACAAACACATCGTTTCCCTTCAGAAGACATTGATCCATCCATTTTGGTGGTATGAATTACTACAGTTATTGCAGTATACGCTGTTTGATGCTCCACCTTTTAGGTGGAACACATGAGCTTGCAATATAAGTGTTCTGAATTCAGTTGTTTTTCAAATAAAGGTTTCCGAGTTGGTGATATAAGATTGTGTATTTATTTTTATTGTACTTACCCTGTAACTACATGAAACAAGAGGGTAACAAGCACCACTAATGAAACAAGAGTATCTTTCCCCAATATTTAAGCAAAAGTTGCAATTGTTTTAGTTTTCAGTGCACTTTTGTTAAAAAGATTACTGTATAAATGCATAGATATGTACCCTATAATTATTAAAAAGCCTATACACAATATATATTGGTACACCATTATTATAAAAAGGTATGCAGTGTATGTTCTCGCTAAATTGCTCCCAAATGTAAGATTGTTGTATCATAATAGTAGAATAAGTTCCCCTTAGTTCTATAATACTTAAAGTATAAATAATATTTTAATTCTCCTGGTTGTTACCCCTTTATTTCCCAAACTTTACATATTGTTCCCTTATACTTACATGTAAGTACGTTATAGGTACACTATAATTACCAAAAGTTACACTGTAAAATCGCTTTAATTACGCAGTACTTTTCGGGCTGTAATCTAAAGCGTTACCACCCTTTTTTTTATTCAAATTTGACATCTGAAATTGTAAGAACGTACCTCAAAACATCCAGCACAGCCGGTGTCTGACGGAAAGCGAGTGTTTCTGTGCGAGTGTTTCTGTGTGAGTGTTTCTGTGTGAGTGTTTCTGTGTGAGTGTTTCCTCAAAAGCTGCTTCAAAAGAAACACATTCACAAGGGAGGGGTGTGTGTTCAGTTCCTGCTCTGGGTGTCTTTCAATATTAAAGGATAATTACTAGTGCTTTCAATCGATTAAAAAAACAGCTTTTAATCAATCAAATATTTCTATAACTTACCGTCATCTTCCTAATTTGTAACTAGAATTGTTTAGAAATCTGTTGTCAGCTAAAGAGATCGCAATAGACGTGAAGGACCATATAGCTCGCTCAAGTACTGCGGTGCTAAACCATTTAGTGCTTTATAAGTACTCAGCAATATTTTAAAAATTTATACGATGCTTAATAGGCAGCCAATGCAGTGTTGACAGAACTGGGCTAATATGGTCATACTTCCTGGTTCTGGTAAGAACTCGAGCTGCAGCGTTTTGGACCAGCTGGAGTTTGTTTATTAAGCGTGCAGGGCAACCACCCAGTAGAGCATTACAATAATCTAGCCTTGATGTCATGAACGATGTCTGCTTTTTTCAATGACAGCATATGACGTAATTTAGATTTAATTTAGAGAAAGGTTGGTATCAAATAGCACACCCAGGTTCCTAACCGACGACGAAGACTTGACAGAGCAGCCATTAAGTGTTAGACAGTATTCTAGGTTAATACATGAGGAAGTTTTTTGTCCAATAATTAGAATCTCTGTTTTTTCAGAATTTAGTAGTAGGAAATTACTAGTCATCCAGTTTTTTATATCAGCTATGCATTCCGTTCATTTGGTGAATTGGTAAGTTTCGTTGGGTTTTGAAGAAATATAGAGCGGAGTATCATCGGCATAACAGTGAAAGCTAACTCCATGTTTCCTAATGATATCTCCTAAGGGTATCAACATCCACCAGTTGACCAATACAAGGATTGGCTTTTAATCCTTTCGAATAAATAATATAAAATCGCATGATTTATCCTTGAATTGTACAGTATTGTACAGTATTTAAATAGAGAAGGTTACATTAAAATACATAATTTAAAATACAGACATTTCAACATTAAACGTTGCATATTGATGTTAAATCCACTTTTGCTTTATATAGAATTGTTCTGTAGTCTATACAGTCTAGTCTATACTTTTCAAGGAAAAAGTAATTCAATTACAGTAATTAATTACTTGGCATTACACCAACACAAATCCCAACCCAAAGCCCCTGCTGATAAAATGATCATATTGGCATTGGCATTGCCCTGTATTTTACATCAATAAAAACCTGCCGATTAATGACAGGACATGCTATTGTGTGCATCTAAAACATATAATCCTCAGTAGACTATACGGAGATGAGCCGGGACATGAAATTTGCAACGTTTGGTAAATCAAGGCCTAAGTGTAAAGGAAGGTATATGTATACTATTGCAATACAATATTCTAGCAATACTTTACCACATATATTATTCTAACAGCCTTTGCCAACAAGGTTTACATTTGCAGCCAAAACTAAAGGACAAACAAGGAGAATTCATATCAAACTGTGAAATAGTAAATGCTTGCATAATCTCCTAATATATATATAAGTATATAAAATATATAAAGTGCATATCTATGAAAGATTCTCTTCCGCTTATGTGTGAGCTGATTGCTAGATCTCATATAGTGTAACTGGTTCTTCCTCTACATTAGAAGGTGAACCGGCTTCAGGGCCACAGGGGAAATACTGGGACCTTTACAGTGGATGATGGAACCAGTTTCCCACTGTTTAGATTTTGCTTTGAATTGAATTCCTGAGTTATCAGTCTGAGTTGGGTGTGGTGTGCCATAATGTTGACTACTATATGGATATATACCAGTATATGTTGACTGATGGGATACAGTAATACAGAGCTTGTTAAGATGTATGTATGGTGTCTTGCCAACACATTCTCATCCTTTGGCGTCATATAGGTGACACCATATGACATTTCGTCGAAATCTTACGCACATGGCATCCTTTAGCGTTAATATAACACGCACTGTTATGGGTAGGTTTAGGTCTGGGGTAGGGTTACGTTTATGACGCCTTGGGATCTGCGTCTCATATTGATGCTAAAGGATGCCATGTGCGTAAGATTTCGACGAAATGTCATTTGTATGACGCCTTGGGATGAGAACGGGCTGGTCTTGCTGTATGATTGATTAAACCGCCTATAGGATAGTCCAGCGCTGTGTATGGTGTCGATTCATTTGAGCAGATGTGCCCGCATTTTAAATGTCTGTTTCTAGTTACCACATTTTTCTAATATACGTATAGTGCTAAAATAATTTGTTTGCCATCTCTCCTCATGATGCTATTTCAAAGCAAACACACAATGGGTTAATGGTGTCAAAAAATCTGAAAATCTGAAAAATCATCACATGATAATAACTGAAAGTGAAATAAATACACATTTACATGAATAAAAAAGGCAGACAGTATAAACATATAGTAACACACTAACATTGTTTTTCAAAGGATACAAGTCATATGCTTTCACAATGAGGAAGAAACTCAACAGTCAACATGACAAAATCACAGAGTAAAAACATGCAGTTAATCTACAAAAATAGCTTCTACTTTTATTTGATTATTTATATAAAAATATACATTTGAGACGCCGTGTTTCTATGTAGGCTTTAGTTCATATTTTAATAATTTACCTTAATTCATTTTTTTTTTTTGTCTACTGATTTGTTTACTGATGTTTTAACATCTGTCAATACCAATTTTGCTTTATGATCTTTATGATTTTGTTGCATCAACTAAATAAGTATTTGCACACTGTTATGTGGGTAGTTGATCAGTCACCTAAAATACACACCTTGTGTTTTGATTAATTTAAAGGACATTATGATAAATACTTTGCTTGTTACATATTTGTGCAACATTTCAGCCGTAAATAAATAATAAATGTTAGCTAGATTATGTTCATTACCTGTCTAGTGATGTATGTTTATGCTGAAATATAATAGAGGTCTTTATCACATGTCGTTATGTGTTGTGAGCTAAAGAACTTAGTAAGCATCAATACAGGGTTTTCACAGTGCATTGTGGGGGTTTTAGGGAGCAAATGTTTCAGTGCCCTGATTAAGATGTCAATTCATCCCTTTAATAAAAACAAACAAACACATAAACAGCAAATAATACGAAATGGTGATTCATAAAAGCTCTGCTTCCCTCGCTGCACTTACTAGATAACCTAAAGATGATCTGAGAATAAACACACTACCCGTTACTGATAATGACAATGAGGAACGTTAAATAGAAGATTACTCAAAGATCAACGAAAGCACCAACGTCCAAATAAAGCTGTAGGGGATTTTAGATCTGGTTTGAAACGAATGCAGGCAGAGCAGTGTATCATGGCTTGTAGACCAACATCGGCCATAAAACGGTATTTTACATTGTTTCTTTGACAAATGAGTCGCTTGTCTTGTATTAAAATAACCCGAGCAGCCGAGGCTTTACACATGTTCAAGAAGCAGCTAAAGATGCTTTTTTTTTTTGTCAACACACTCGTTTATTCTTTCTATTTACTTTTGTATTTAAAAAATCAACAACCTTGTTACTTGTACTGTGCTGGACAAAATGGGACTTCACAGTATTTTGATTGCTTTTATAGTTCTGCTCATTTGCTTTTATTGTTCTCCTCATTTGTAAGTGGCTTTAGATAAAAGCTTCTGCTAAATGATTAAATGTAAATGTGTATCAAACAGCGCAAGCACACACACACTACTCACGGAAAACAGTTCCTCATATTTTTGTGTGGTTGACTCTGAGGTCAAGTCAAACATGTTTTGGCTTCGATAAAGAAAAAGCTTTCCTTTCCAGATACACATCTGATAGTGAATGTTTCACTAGAGTTACACTTGTTGACAGTCACTGATTTTCTCATGTTTCTCTTGGTTTGTATTTCCTTGATTTCCATGTGTTTTATTTCCTTGATTCAATAACGTAGCAGAACTGAATATCATTCTCACATTGAAACAAGTGTTATGCTGCTATTCATAACAAGTGGTAACACTTTATAATAACTGCACGCTAATAATCATTTGTTAAGCATGAGTAAACAGTTAATTCATCATTCATAAAGCATTAATAGACATGAATAAGCAGTTTATAAATACAGCTATAAATGCTTTCTTCTTGATTTACAAGCATATCTATAATTTATTTAATAATTGTATTTTCATCCTTTATTAATGATCAATTTATTATTTCTAAATGAATAATTGCATTTTTTATAAACCAGTTATTTAAGAGTTTTCAGTGGTTCACAAGATTACTTAGAATGTGTAAGTAAATTATTAATAAACTATTTAAATGTACATTCATACATCTTATTATTCAGACATATAGTGATGGTTACTTAGTGTGTTAATAAATGCTTTATTAACATGTATTTATGCTGTATTTCAGGGTTAATTCGGGTAGTTATAAAGCATTTAGTAGTGGTCAGTTAACTATGTTTGTGAGCTCATCTAAAGTGAGGACTATTCATGCCTTGTAAAGCATTTATAAAGGAGATTTAAAGGCTGTTAAATATTTCTATGTTCTGTATCACTGTGTTGTGTTTGTTACATTTTACTGTTTAGAAGATTGATGAGCCTTCAAATCTCCTTTATAAATGCTTTACAAGGCATGAATAGTCCTCACTTTAGATTAGCTCACAAAATAGTTAACTGACCACTACTAAATGCTTTATAACTACCTGTATTTACTACATTTACTTACACTTTCTAAGTGATCTTATGAATGACTGACAACTCTTGTTTGTAAATAATGCTATACTTCATTTAGAAATTATTAATTGATCATTAACAAAGTATGAAAATACAATTATTAAACGCATTATAGATATGCTTATAAATCAAGAAAAAAAGCATTTATAGCTGTATTTATAAACTGCTTATTAATGTCTATTAATGCTTTATAAATGATGAATTAACTGTTTACTCATGCTTAACAAATGATTATTAGCATGCA